GGGTTCTAGATCATGTCATGATTATGGTTCATATTGAATTGCTACTATCTTATTACCCATGGTGCAAATTAATTAATTTCCAAGAGCTATAAGAAACACCCAGCAACAAAGCAATGGGAAATGCGGCATTACACTGATGTAATCAGATGATCACTTCATACAGTCAGGTGAAGGAAAACCCAGTTAGCTCATTTGATCAATACGTATCAATGAATTTAAGAAATGAAGTCATTGGCTTGGTACAGGAGGTGTCTTAGGGTGGTCTTAGCCTCACTAAGATTCCTTCTTGCTAGTCTTGCTTCATAGATGATCTGTAATAATCATTTATTGCAAAGTATTTCTCAAAATTTTTTCATTATTTCCTTTTAGCTTTTTAAATATTTTTGGTCACTACCTAGTACACCTGACTACTTTGCAGAAGGCAATAGCCATTCTAAGCACAAATTCCATAGTCCACACATGCAACCAACTCTCAGATGCTAACAATGGCAATACGCATCACAACGTCTCAAAGCAGATGAAAGATTTTTTTCAAACTATTCATTATTTATTTATTTATTTTTATTTTATGTATATGAGTGTTATGCCTACATGTGTGTAAGTGCACCCATGTCATGCAGTGTCCATGGAAGACAGAAGAGGGCATCAGATCACCTGGAACTGGAGTTATGGATGGTCGTTAGCCACCATGTGGGTGCAGGATTCAAATCCAGGTCTTTTGCAAGAGCCATTTCTCCAGTCCCAATAAAAGACTTTCTTCACTGGGGATAAGGGATGGGATACAGATTTATAGATTTAAACAGCCTTTTAAAAATCCCATATTAGAATTGTAGACACTGACTGTATTTCACATATTTCAATATTTTGTCCTTTGGAAGACCAAAAATCATTGTCATACCTGTTTTTTTTTCATACACACCCTACTAAAGAACAAATTTTACCCATTCTCTGGAGGCAATTTTGCCATGGTTGAGAATTCACCATCTAGTCTAAACTTGTTCTTGTCAGTGAGTTATTTCTTTACACAGGCATTTGGTAAAATATGGATCCTGGAGCCCCATTAGGGTAATGTGGCCAAAGCACACAGCCAAGAGGCTGGAGCCTAGTGACCTGGCTTCTTAGAATCTGGACTGCTCCAAATCTCCATTGTTTGCTGACCTTGTGGTTGTTATCTGCAGTGCTAGGGATGGAACCTATGGTCTTGTACAGACTAGGCAATGCTCTACCACTGAGCTACAGCCCCAACCCCACCATAGCTAAGTGCTTTTGGGTGTGTTGTGACTTTCTCTGGCAAGCCCTGGTGAAGGCCAGCATTCAAGGACTTGAACAGGTACCATAGGAGGAGACAACATTTTGACAGCCGATTTTCTTCCTGCCTTCAAAGAGCCAGAAACTCTAGTTGAACAGATCAACTCTTTAAATAGGCAGGGCAATCAGCCCATAAGAATGACAGTTCTAGAAGTCACAGAGTTACAGACCTCCCCAAGTGCTCAAGGACTGAGCCTTTTCATAAGTCCCCAAACAAACTGGGGACAGACAGTGATTGGCAGACTAAGCCATATTGCTCTCATACACATGGATCCACATTTTGAGATAAACTTAGTCCTTCAAAGCTGATCTGTACACTTGGGATTTACACACCATGAATGGAGGAACCACTGAGCAGAGGAATACTTCCTTCACAAGCACTTCATTTCCTCTGGCAGCCCCCTAAATTCAAAATGCAACCTGACGTGTAATTGATTAAGGTCTAAGTCTGTGCTATTTAAAGGTACATCTAAACTGTTTCATTTTCAAAATACAGTTTGCATTAGTTAGAGAGTTTAAAAATACAACTCAGTATATTCCTTTCTAAGGCTATCATAGGATAACTGTTCTCAGCCTCTGAGGAAGCTCTGCAGGATTTAAATTTTTTTTTTTTTTTTTTTTTTTCCCATTGGGGTCCCCTGAACTTGGCCACCTTCTTCAACCAATATTTTTTTTTTATAGGGCTTTTATAGGAAAATTTTTCCCCGCCTTTGAGGGATCTTTGGAGGTTTTAATTTTTTTTTTTTTTTTTTTTTACCATTGAGAGAAGTCCTGCCATACGGAAAACACCAGGAGCCCTGGACCTGGGCTGAGAGGGCTATAACCAGGACAATAATCTCCAACCTTTCCTGCTTCCAGCCTGCAGGAATCTACCCAAGTCACTGGCCTGGCAGTGATATCCAGCATGCTTTGAGGAAGTCTACTCCTTGGTGACATCTCTCAGCCTCTGAGGACAGAGGTTGTAAAATGCTTTTAAGTCTATCCATTATTGAGCACATCTTGGAATTTATGTTTTCATTACTTTGGCCCTACTTAAATATATCATTTCTTGAAGGACAGAGAGCCCAGAATCCCTGTAACTGCCAATGGTTCCCATGACAATACAGTGTTAGCTCAATTTTCATGGGCTTTGTATTAGAAAGCCAAGTGATGGCACAAGGGGTCTCAGTCATTGAGCCACAGTGAAACTGGGCTTGCTATTACTGTCTCCAAAGACCATGACATCTTCTGTGCAAGTCAAACCCAACTGGTCATCATACATCCTAGGATGCTGGCTCCTGCTCAGAGTCTGCAGCAGATGGGCAATGTCCACAAGAAAAGACTGCTTATGAATGTGTAGGTAAGTGCATAAACCCTTGGAGTTTGGAGTGTGCCTCACCATTTGCCATATGACAGAGAATATAGCTCTTTACATGACTTCTTCTCCATCAACAGACCAAAATGAATTGTGAGAGGCTCAGAATATCCTAGCATATTTGCTGAAGCTATTGAAGGGATCCTTCCCAGATGACCCTATTAGGGCCTTTTGCATCATTACCAGGACGTGGACCACTTGGCTCTGGCTCATTTGTCTAGGGATTCCTTGAACTTGAACAAGAGGTCTGGAGTTGGATTAAACAACTATGCTTTCATCTACTTAGCAGTGTTCTCCCCAATTCTATTCCTCTATGCACAGGGTCAAAAGAAATCGTTCCAGGACATGTTTATACTGTACTTTTTCACTACTGTTCTCCAGAATGAGGTATACTAATTACAAAAGTAAAAAGTTATGTGGTACCCAGAGTGCTGGTAATGAGCAACTGTAGTTCTAGCTACTTGGAGGATGAGGCCAATGATCATCTGATTCCAGGAGTGAAGAGAGAGAAGAAAGAGGAGGAGGGAGAGGGGATACAGAAAATGAGTTCCATTATAAGAACAATTCTAGATCTCGGTTGGCAGGAGTCCATGAGGACATTTCTGGGTCTAGTCATGTTGAGAGGGTCCAGTGCTTAGATCTATGAGAGCACATGGGGAAAATCAACTGGCTAAGTGAATTTCAAACTGTTGATGTCATTCAGGCTATGCTTATGCCACATCAGTAAAACAAGTTAGAAAAACAAAAATTGAAAAAACTTGACAGGATGACACCAAATTACAGCTGGTCTCTTGGTTTTATTCTTTTCTATTTAAATCATAAAATCAAATCATTACTGAAGTACAGAACATTAATTGTTCTGCTGATAGGTGATGAGTGACCACAGTTTTTCAATTCCAATCAGATTGCTTATATGAAACATACCACCCCTAAGACCTTCCTACATTCTTAGCTTGTTTCAAATACTCCCTGTTAGACTAAAAAGACATCAAATGATTAAAAAGATGCAGAAAGGTTAAATACTGCCAACTAAGTGTTCCTGGTGACAAGGCCAATGTTCTGTTTAAGCAGCCAAGTGTAATGTTCATGTCATCTACAACTGCCCAACATCTGTGAAGAAACCAAGATCTCGGTATAAAATAAAAAACCAGACTAACCCTTGAGAAACATCCAAATCCTCAAAGTCAACATCTACTACCTGAGCCTAGCAATGAGAGTCAACAATGGCCAGGAATACAGTCAGACTCAGAAAAACTGAGCTGAGCAGGATTGACAGAATAAAATACAGCTTTCTCTCCCTAGGTGCCATTTCCCCAGACTACAGACCACAAATAAAAGCAGCCTGATTGTGGTTATTTGCGCTGGGAGAGAAAACGACTCAGAGAAGGGGACCTTATGGGAGTTTCTCTGAGATTTTTCGTGTTTAAAACAAGACTATCACCTAACACAAAGTGGAGGCAAAGGAGAAGGGGGGGGCTGTCTACACCTTGTGCTTCACCCACAAGGCTTTGGTGTTCCTCAGAGGCCTAGGCACAGATTGGTAGTGGTTTGTAACGAACACACACACTGTATCCGTGAGAGCCTAGCGCTGTTGCATCCCCCCACCGCCCTCAGCGTAGTTTTCTAGAACTCTCTCTCCAATTTCCCAAGTGCTCACGCAAGAGCATACCCAGCCCCCACCTTAGGAAGTCCACTTCACTGAGATCTGCAGACCCTCACCACTCTTTTGCAGACACTTTCCACAAGAGGAATGGAATGGGAAGGGCAGAGCTGTCCAGGTTGAAGGCTGAGAGGGTGAAGGGCACACGGAAGAGGCTGTACCAGGCTGTGTAGAGGCTGTAAACCCCTTGCTGGAGGGTGAGCAATGGTGTAGCAGGGAGGAGCACAGGGTCTGGGGAGGTAGAGGTCTGCCTAGCCAGAGAGACAGCCAGGCCCTTGAAGTTGGAGAGGAGGGAAGGTAAGGCTGAAGTGGGAAGGAATGGGAGACCCAGAGGGAGGCAATAGTAAGGAGGGGGAAAGATGAGCCCAGGCGGAGGTAGAAGGAATGGGAGGCCAGCGGGGGAGGGGGCGTGGTCTGGCTAGCGCCCCGCCCCTCCGTGGTCCCGCCTCGGAGCCCCGGCTAGGCAGCCCGCCCGCCGCGCTCTGTAAATATGAAGAGACGCTTCGGCTGCGGCAGCTGCAGCGCCGGCGGCCCCTACAGCTCAGAGCGGTGCGCGCGGCGGCCGGGGCAGAACGCGGTGCGGGGCTCGGGAGCCAAGGGGTCGGGACGGGCCGCGGAGAGGCCGGGCGGC